CTGAAAAACAAAAAAGATGCCGTCGTTTAACAGATAATCACCAAATATTTTATGTCTGTGTTGTACAGGAAGGAGTACATGAGCTATCATAGACTGGTTTGACTTATCTTTAGTATTTCTCTTAGTAAGTACTCTGGTCCAAAGTGAAAATGCACCTTTACTCTGGTTTGTAGTAATTGAATTAAAAATAATCGTTACTATATTATTAGTGAGCCATCTTACACTAATAATGAAAACATTCCTTTATTTGCTTAGCCTCTGGGATTTTCAGCAGAGGTTCAGACAGTTCCGTGTGTTCCTTATATTAAGCATCCGTTAAACTAGCTGGCTGCTTTTTATTCCCTACTTCTTCCCCATTTTGTAGTTTATGGAGAATGAGATTTTATTTTCTTCTACGGTGATGACATGCATGCATTTTTTCATTTAACAGTTATTTGCCAAATACTTAATGAGCACCTGCTACTTGGCAGGCGTAATTCTAGATGCTTAGGCTACATTAGCAACAAACAAATTCCTGCCCTCCAGGAGCCGACATTTTGGTGTGTGCTAGAGTTGCTCGACAGGGTTTGGAGTTGGGGCAGATCCTGTGGGGCCTGGCTGGCCATCGTAAGGACTTTAGTCTTTTAGTCTGAGTGAAATGGGGCTACGTTGCAGAGTTTTGAGCAGGGGCCAGGCATGATCTGACAAAGGTTTTAAAGGATTTCTCTGATGGTTGCGGAGAGTAGACTGTTAGGAGGGTGAGAAGAAAGCAGAGGTTCCAGTTGGAGCTTTCTCAGTCATCGAGGTGGGAGATAGTGGTTCAGATGAGGGTGTCAGCGGTGGGGTTAGCAGAAAGTGGTTGGAGTCTGGAGATATTCTGAAGGTAAAGCCAGGAGTATTTCCTGATGGATTAGCTATAGGGAGTGAGAGAAAAAGAATAGGCAGGATGAATTTTAAAGATTAAGACGATGATCCAACGCGTGTATGTGATATGTTACCATAGGAAGTTGTCGCCCATGAGGCTAAGGGACAGAGGTTTTAATAAGTAATACTTGCTCCATTCGAAGATGAAAAGCAACACAAGGACTGACACACGTGATACTCAGGCAGCACGTAAGGAAGTTTATTCTATATGTTTATGATGTAACGAATTGACTTGGTCCTATCCAAGCTTGGGCTTTTAACAGTTAGAGCAGGATCAGCAACTATGGCCCACGAGCCAAATTCAGCCCTCCACCTGTTTTCGTAAGTGGTTTACCTGTCATCTAGTGCTCCTTTCATGCTACAACAGCAGAGTTAAGTAGTTGGAAAAGAGACCATGTAGTCTTCAAAGGCTAAAACACCATCTGGCTATTCACAAAAAATTTGTCAACCCTGTTCTAGAGGCCCTTTTTGTGAAACAATATGATTCTTCTTTGATAGCATCTTTCTCCCTTTTCATTTCTTAGCACCCTGACTATTCAATCCAGATTCTAGAAATGCATCTCATATTTGTGTGTGTGTGTGTGTGTGTGTGTGTGTGTGTGTGTGTGTTTTACCACCAGCTTGAATTTATGTCCCCCATTCTTACCAAAGACATATAAGAAAGCTTATATGTTTTCAAAATATATTCTTTTATGTTCTTGTATTCTATCATATTCTTCCATTTTATGCTGTCCCTTTTTTTCAGCTTGTCTGTGTCCTGTTTTGACACACAGACCTACTGAGGACAGGTACATGTGTCTGATTTTGTGATTTCCCATTTAGTATATTCCCATGTGAGGAGTTCATCTAAATATTAGTGAGGAATATGCAAATATATTATACACACAAACTTTGGAAAGTTTCTTTTAATAGACAATTTATAGCTTATTTATTTTTTAATATATATTATGAGAT